GGGTGCCACCCCCTCCCAATGGTCTCCGCTCCTCGGGGTGACGACCTCTCCCCAATGTCTGCCGCTCCTCAGGGTGACGACCTCTCCCCAATGTCTGCCGCTCCTCAGGTTGACGAGCTGTCACTAATGTCTTCTGCTCCTCCGGGTGACGACCTCTCACCAGTGTCTCCCGCTCCTCGGGGTGACAACCTCTCACCAGTGTCTCCCGCTCCTCGGGGTGACGACCTCTCACCAGTGTCTCCCGCTCCTCGGGGTGACAACCTCTCACTAATGTGTGTTGGTAATTATAATATTATGGATTTTAGAGTCAGATAGAATCTGCTGCCTCTCATCTGGTAGATGATCCGTGGGATCTGGGTCCAGGGTGTGTGAGAGGAGGTGTTGGGTCTCCAGTAATGGGTTCCTTGTTCCTGATGGTGGGGGTCCAGGGTCTTTGAGAGGAGGTGTTGGGTCTCCAGTGAGGGGGGCTCCCTGCTCCTGATGGTGGGGGTCCAGGGTCTTTGAGAGGAGGTGTTGGGTCTCCAGTGAGGGGGGCTCCCTGCTCCTGATGGTAGGGCTTCAGGGTCTGTGAGAGGATGTGATGCGTCTCCAGTAAGGGGGGCTCCCTGCTCCTGATAATGGGGGTCCAAGATCTGTGAGAGGAAGTGGTGTTGGGTCTCCAGTATTGGGTTCCCTGTTCTTGATGGTGGGGGTCCAGGGTCTCCTAGAGGAAGTGTTGGGTCTCCAGTAATGGGTTCCTTGCTCCTGATGGTGGGGGTCCAGGGTCTGTGAGAGGAAGTGTTGGGTCTCCAGTAAGGGGTTGCCTGTTCTTGATGGTGGGTGTTCCGGGTCTGTGAAAGGAGGTTTTGGGTCTCGAGTAAGGGGTTGCCTGTTCTTGATGGTAGGGGTCCAGGGTCTTTGTGAGGAAGTGTTAGGTCTCCAGTAATGGGCTCCATGTTCTTGATGGTGGGTGTTCCTGGTCTGTGAAAGGAAGTGTTGGGTCTCCAGTAAGGGGGGCTCCCTGAATCCTGATGGTGGGGGTCCAGGATCTCCTAGAGGAAGTGTTGGGTCTCCAGTAATGGGTTCCTTGCTCCTGATGGTGGGGCTCCAGGGTCTGTGAAAGGAAGTGTTGGGTCTCCAGTAATGGGTTCCTTGCTTCTGATGGTGGGGGTCCAGGGTCTTTGTGAGGAAGTGTTGGGTCTCCAGTAAGGGGGGCTCCCTGCTCCTGATGGTTGGGGTCCAGGATCTCTAAGTGGGGAATGTTGTCCAGTATGGATCTTCAGGATTTATGATGGGGGGGTGGGTGCTGTGTCTCCAGTGAAGGGACTCCCCGATCCTGATGTTGGTGGGTTTGTTATCTGTAAGGGAGGAACGCTGAGTCTCCAGTAAGGGGCTCCAGTAAGGGGGGGCTCCCTCCCTGCTCCTGGGGGTCCAGGATCTATGTTGCCGTTGATTGGCAGAGGCAGGTATCGGTGGGTCTCCAGCTCTGACAGTCGCTTGCCATCTGTGTGTCAGTGTCAGGAGATTCCCGCAGGGAGCGCTGCCCTCGCACAGCTGCGGATATCGCACGGTATTGGCGGCGGCGGCGGCGGTGTGCCTGTACACTGCACCATTCCGCTCGCTGGGCTGTGTGCAGTGGGGGAGGGGCCAGTGTAATTTTCTACATTAGTGAATCAGTGCGGGCGAATCCTGGAGGGACGGAGCAGCATCTCGGCTGTAGGCTGCATCGGAGGAGCCAGCCATGCTGTGATCGGCTCTCCCTCCATCGTGTGTGCGGATCTCCTCCTCTCCTCATCATGGCTCTGGTGATGGAACCGATCAGCAAGTGGAGCCCCAAGCAGGTGGTGGACTGGATGAAAGGTGGGCGCCCTTCTCCCCTCTGTGTATTCCTGACTTATCCCCCCCATGCATGCTGCACCCCGGGCCAGGAGGGTG